TAAAGCGCTATACAAATACAGGCCATTTATCATTTAAATGAGGTCCAGTCCAACTACTAAAAAATATTTGTAAACTGATTTTTTATTTTTTTTATTTTAATTGTTATTTTTTCAAATTCAGGAGGTAATTCTCTCTCTTTCCCTCTCAAAAAAGAGACATTTTATGTTTTTTCGTCTAAGATAAGACAGTCTAAAATAAGTTTAAATGTCAAATAACTAAGTTCAAGACATGAAAAAACAAAAACACTGAGTCTGGATTGGCTCTGGCTGTTCGTGAGTACACATCTAAAAAAGCAGGTCCATAAAAAGAAGGTCAGTTAAAAAGAATTTGAATACTTACACATAGTCACGTTCCACACTTCCGCAGACTGGTTAAACAGCAGAACCACATCAAAGATAAGACAATAATGCAATAATTTAATAAAAAAAAACACCAAGAATTTAAATTTAAAAGCCATCCAGATGTATGTGTGTGTGTGTGTGTTAACTTATTACCGTCAATATTTATGTAGTCTGACTGTTCATCTTCTGCAGGTGTAACACAGCACAGTTATTAAACCTCAGATTAAACACTTCAAACACCACGGCAAGGTATGCAGAGCGTGTGCTCTTTAAACATAAGAAAACACGGGGGGCTTACCTTCTGGAGGTTCAGATGGCTCTGGAGTCTCACTGAAAAAAACAAAACAAAAAAACTCATTTGAACTGTGAAGTTTATTTGGGATGAAATGCCACAGAGAAGCAGATAGGAAGCTGATGTTATGGTGATAATATTTGCTCATTTTCTGAATAAAAAATAATTTCCTTTTGTTAACAGTAAGTTAAAAATTTGGATTGTTACACCAAAAAGGCTGCTAAGTTGAAATTTTGAGATGATAAGTCAATATTTTGACTTCGCTCTACCTGGCAACCCCCCCAAAAAACTATGTTTGTTCATTTTTTTTCCAGTGGTGGAAACAAGCATCCACATGGAACTGTTAACAGTAGCTAACTTATTGACTTTTTTAGAAAATTACCTGTTTCTCTGATAATTTGTCTGAAATAGGCTCTGCTTAGTTGATCCATGTTGTGCAGAAGAAGAGGGAAATGATGCATTAAATATGTGTTTTTAAGAGAGCGCAGAGTGTGAAGCAGCAAGCAGAACAGAGAAACTGATAACCATCATTGTGATATCTGTTATCTCTGAGTCCGGTTTTATGGTTTGTTGAGCCAGCAAATGCAAAGAAAGAAAAGAAAAAAAGCCTGATTATGTTCTCTTATTTGGTAGTTCACCCTCAGGTGAACATAGACTGGAATTATAATAAGTCTACAGGTGGTTGTGAAAGATGTAAAGGAAGACATCGCACAGTAGTTTTGTTTTTTCATTTCTGTTTGTGAGCATATAAAAAAATAAACAATAATTCTAATATTTAAGTTACAACGTCTTTGAGCGGCTGTTAGGTGCATTTTTTTTATTCTAAGAGTTTCCCCTTGATTCCATCATGAGTTTATTTGTTTCTGTTTAGCTGAGCTGCACAGGGTTTATAAAAGGAAAAAAAATTCTGTGGAGAAGGTAATGTATTTTGGGTTGTCTTTTATCCAATGTTAGGTTACTGCATGAGTGACCCAAACCTGACTTGAGGTGGCAGACACTCTGCAGAGAGGAAAATAACCAAAGTGCAACTTTAAACAACATCCCTTGAGAAGCACAAAAGCGAAGATGATGAGCTGATTTTGATAAAAGTTTCCCACAACTCTGAACTAACTATTACTCTGAGATGTGAAAGTGCTGCAGATATGTTGCTTTCTAGTAATGCAGTCCCCTGAGTTCCAACTACTATCCATCCAGCTTGATGTCCTGCACTTAGAAGAGATGGCTGACGATTGCACCGTTCTTTAGTCGGTATTCATAGCCAGTCTTGTCAATGATCTGGTAGAGGAGGTTCAGGCTTCTGTAGAACATCAGTGGGAACAGAGCATCTACTTGGTAAATCCCACACTTGATGGAGACTTGTGCTATTGGCTTGAACTTCTCCATCTCTGTCAAATTCCTGATGAGGGTCTAAGGGTCCTGTTGAACTTCTAGGCACAAGTTCTAGGCATTTCAGGATCCATGTGTGAGGCATTGAGTCGTAGCGTTTCTTGTAGTCAATCCAGGCAGTACACAGGTTGGTCAGACTATGGTAAATGGTAAATGGCCTGTATTTGTGCTGATCATAGTCTTTTTGAGAGAAAGTTTACTCTTTTATGGCCCAGCATGCAGTGAAAATCATATAGTGACAGCCCTAGCTTACAGTCAGGTTGAGTTGTGTGTTCAGTGTGCAGTTTAATACATTTTACTGAGGGGTGGGCACTCTTTAATCTAAAAAACCCAAACAAAACAAACATTTTTGAGGAATTTGCAAATTGTGTGGAGTCAAAAAACATATAAAAAACATAATAGCTTAAAAAAAATGCAGTTTATTGTAGTTTAAAACTTTTTTTTTTACGTATCACCTGCTTTTGTTTGTGTAAAATAATTAAAATATAAACAGCCTACTTTGAAAAAACCCTGCCAAAAAACATATAGTAGTTTTATAGCTTTCAAACATAGTAACAGTAAAGTTAAAAAAATTAGGCAGTTTAATTTGAATATTGGCTACAGTGTTACATATTTAATTTTCTTCTAACTTTGGATTTGAAAATCAATAGTTAAGTTAAGTAAGTTTAAGCATGTCCATCCATGTTTGCCATTGCTATTTAGGTTCAGCAAAACTAAGAGGATACAGAACCAGTTGAGGTATTAAAGCACATATTAACATGCAGCGTATAGACTTCAAACTGGAGAATAAAGAATCACCTACAGCATTGATTAATAAGAAATAAAATCTCTGGGAGTTGCTGGACGTGGGCATATTTAGCAAATAGAATTCACTCATATCAATTCTCAAATCAGCAATAGCTGATGGAGGATACATCTTATAAACTCAAGCTGGAATCGGGGGGGGGAACTGTTTGCAGATTGAAGTGCTTTTCAGCAGTAACACCATTAAAGCTGAGTCTTTGTACTTGACCTTTAACTGATCTGGCTTCTGTGTTATGTGCCCTGATAAAAAGCGTCTCGTGTGCGCAGATATGCACAAGCACTGCATGAAACACATAACCAAGTGCGGTTAAATATTGTGCAGAGTCTTGCAAGTGACAGTATCTCACGCTGTACGTACGCTGCTGCTGCTGCAAATGATGATGATATCTGGTTGGTTTTGGTTACTGAAAAATAAAACGAGGATTTTAAACAAAGCATTAAAGCTCGTTTCACAGAGGCGGTATCTGAGGTACAGATTTCATCGGTTTACTTTAGCCTACCTGTTGTTGATCGCATCACTGCAAACTGACTCCCCCCACGTTGGCTGTCGAGATAGAGTTTTAATGTCAGGACTTTTATGAAGTGATTAAAATATGCTGGCATTAAATATTTATGGTAGCCACACAGTTTACTACTACTACTACTGTTTACTGCTTAAGGCCTTTAGAGATGCTTAACTATGTTCAGTGATGTAATTTTAAGGCTTTATCTGCAGATTTATGAGACTTTCAATAAGTGAATGAAACTAAACTTGCAGGAAGGCGATGGACACGTTCTGTAATTTTCTTTCTTGCAGTCACTTTGCTCATCTGACACATGTCACAAAAAATATATATCTACATATATTTATTTGTTTTTATCAGACATTTTTACAGCTCTCTATAGACTGAAAAGTTTATCATCATGTAAGATATTACTTACAACGTTGGTGGATTGTATATTTGACGGTCCTCTTGAATGATCTCTGCAGGTAAAAAAAGACAGAAGAAAGAAACAGGTTGAAAGAATTCAACCTCAATATTTATACCAGTTGACTGCAGCTGTGTCTTATGACTATAAATGTACGATGTGTGTGATCCCACAAGTCTATGCTGAGCAGAATGAAGTGTAGGCTACAATAAGGCAATAACCAATGTCTCCATATAGGTATGCAGGGTCTCATGAGGTTAATGGTGGTCTACAAGATGTTAATGAAAGTGAATATTGCCATATGGTAATCTATGGCTCACAGTTGTGGTTGTGGGTGCAGAAGCTCCACCCACCTGCCGCTCAAATCCTCTGTTTGCGAGGAGCAGCCAATCAAAGGAAAGTGGCTTAAAGGGGAAGGAGTTTAAACTGGGGGTTTTTTTCAGACAGAAGATGAACTGAGGGTTTGCAAGAAGTATAAGATTAAAAAAAGGATTATTCTAAACTGTGACTCATGCAAAGCTACTCTAGAATAAAGGATAACAATGTAGAAAACATGTTGAGTTGATAAGCAAAAATCTTATGATTAAGAAAGCAGGTTGCATGAACAAATGAGAAATCTGTGGAGGTGTGACTCATTTTTTTCTTTTGCTGGGATTTAAGCGGCACCTGACTGCAAACTTTGCACCACCTGTTGTTTCTCTTGACAAACTAATAGCCAGTAATCTCATAACAACGATGAATGGAAACACTTGGTGGTGGAAAAAACCCGCTATATTGCAATATTTTGTATCGATACAAGGGACACCAAATATTGCTATTTTAATAAATAAATGAAAATAAATAAATATATGAAAATACTCTGGGAATCTCCTGCATCATGATTCTGAGATAATGTTAGCCAATAAATCGGCTCAAAAGAAAAAAACATCCAACACTGAGTATATAATTGCCAACTTCAGCCTACCAAATCGCAGACTGACTCCACGTTATGGCAAAATTTATGGAAAACTGATCTTCAGCTGTCCCCCGTTATTTGTCCCTAATTTCTGTTTTGAAATCTTAGTTGATATATTCAACTTCGAGGTTCAGAGTCCTGTTTTGATTTCTTTATTATCCACACATTGAAAGTCTTAGTCCTGGCAATGTTGAGTCTCTTTCTTTTAGTTTTAACTTAATGGCTTCAAGAAATAAGTTCAGTTTTGTGTTTTTCTTGTGTTTTGATCCTTTCTATCATTAGTTTTAGTCTATCTCGTGTTTCTTCTTGGTCCCTCTGTTCTCCCTTTGCTTTTGTCATCTTGTGTTAGTGTTCATGTCTTTCAGTGTCTTTGGGTTATTTCCTGTGTTTGCGATGAAGGATGTTTTCTTGGGTATAAGGTGTTAGTTTTGCTTCCTGTTTATTGTTCTTGGACTCCCTGATTTATTTATTTTTTTACCTTTTTGATAATGTGTTTCTCCTGTTTTTCTTTGCCTGTCAGACTTCTTTGTATACAATCGCTGGTCACTTTATTAGGAACACCTGTTCAACTACTCCTTATATTTATATACATATTCCAGCCAGTCACATTGCAGCAACTAAGTGCATTTAGGCATGTAAACAGACGACCCGCTGAAGCTCAAACCGAGCATCATCAGGGAAGGTAAGGGGATTTAAGAGACTTTAAAAGCTAGTCTATGTTCCCACATAACCAGCTCAATGGTTTGCAGAGAATGGGCTGAAAAATAGAAAATATTCTGTGAGCAGCAGTTGTGAAAATGCTAATAACTCAAATAACCACTCATTACAAGAGCAGTTAAATTTGGACAGCAGAAGACAATTTGCAGCAACTGCGTGACACTATTATGTCAGTGTGGACCAAAATGCACTTTGTCGAGTCATGAAAATTTACAGCAGTCCTGAAAGAAAAGGCGGTTCAACCCTGGTAGTAGCAGGGTACTTAATAAAGTGGCCAGTGAGTGTATATAGCTCTGTCTTCTACTCATCACATGTTCCTATTCAGTTCCTGTGCAGCATGTTTGATGATCTTCTGCTTTCATCCCCTTTTAAAGTGACCTTGGCTCTTCGTTAAATAGAATTAAAAATCCTCACATACAAAGTCCTCCATGATCAGACCCCTATCATAGCAAGGAATCATTATTTTGTGAAGTCATTAAGAATGCATCACATAATGAGAGTAAAACTTGTTATTTTCCTCTGAGCCTGCATCTGAATCATCTTCAGTGTAACGTGCTTCTGACTGAGATTATGCTTCTTTGTTTTACAACAGTCGCATTTCTTTGAAATGACAGAAGTGTATAAAACATAGTCACATATTCCTCAAACTGTAGTTATTTTCATCTCTAAATCTATAAAGTTTGATGTTTTCAAAGTGCATCTGTGCTTCTTTGCACTGAAAGGAGCACGTTTAGGTTATTATACAATACTTTTCTAGCCATGTCAAATCTAATTAAATTGCATGTGCCCTTCAGATTAAAATGAGTTTGACACACCTGTGCTGGACTAAAGGCAAAGCTGAAAAACATGATCTCATCTCTGAAAAATCATCACTTCTGTAAACTATTAGATAACTCAACAGTGAGTCTATAAAAAGCGAGAATGTAACTGGCTTTGTTTGTACCTGACTTTAAGCGTTCCTTTATACTACAACACAGTTTTGGGGTTTTTTTGAAATATGAGAACTTTTTCGGTGGTTCTGACTTCTGCCCTATTTTATTGTCTGTCCTCGCTCTACGCTTTTCTTTTGTCTCTTTGCTCTCTGCTCCTGCTACGACGGCTTGTGGGGGCTGGGTGCTCGCTCGCAGCAGATCACTGTGCTGTTAACATTTGTTCAAGGGTCTTTACCTTGACAAGGACAAATGTGTTAATGGAACGTATGTTATTACAATGATATATCTATAATGGCTAAATTTTTAATTCCCCCAAATCCTGCCTCCATGTCTGGTCTGTGTGGATGTGTAAAATAAGCAAGGGTAAATTGATTTTTTCACATCTCTATCTTTGCTTTGAAGCGGCAGGGTGGTGCCAGCCTCTCTGTAAAAAGTACGCAAGATCTCCCGTGTCTGCGTGGTTTCTCTCTGACAGCCCGGAGACATGTATGTTAGGTGTCTTTGTGATTGTAAAATGCTGTAGGTGTGAAGCTGAATAGCGCTCATATCTGATTAAAGAGATGAAGATAAGATAAAGACTGCATGTGGTTCTTCTGCAGGGGACCAGCATGCTCCCACATTGTCCTCAGCATTGTGACCCACATACAGCGTGTGGTGTTGCTGATCTTTCAACTCATGTGTTCTGCAGCTGTGCAGTAGACCTCCCTATGAAGGACGTACTTACTGTGCTTGACCCAAGAATGGAAAGTGGGTAGAGACGGCGTGAAGAGCTGCCTCCCCCCAAACTGCTTCATGTGGTTCAAGCGAAATAAAACAAAGCCCGCATGTGTCTCCAGTTCAGTTGTTTGTGTATATCACTATTCACACCTGAAATCGGTCACAACGGTCCAAGCTCTCTGAGAAATGTACTTACTGGGTTTCCTTTTGCATCGCAGACACAGCAGCGTCAGCAGACTCAGTAAAGCCACTGACGCAACAGTCAGGACTGCGGGCAGCGGGCCAGAATTTCCTATCATACCTGACAGACACACAAAGGAGAGAGAGGAAAGACTTTAGAGAAACTCAAACTGATCCCTTCAGTTTGTTTAGTTATATTAATGCAGACATTACTGGTCAACAGGCATTCACACCTACATGGCTTAAGCAGCTGCTGCTGCTGCTTTCCTGTTAACACGGCAAAGAACCACAGGATGTGGTCAGCCAAAACAAAACTGAAACACTGCTTTGTGTATGGGACTAACACCTACCCACACCGTTTAAGAAGCATCACACACCCCAATGCAAGAAAACTGTTTTTTGTTTCAAGGACACATTATTTTATAGTGTGATCTCAGAAAGGTCATTTCATATTCATCTGCAGCAGGTGACTAATCAGGCTCGTTTTGGAAAACGTTTTTTGCAACTTTCTCACCGAGCGCATTTCTTTTAAAGTCTGGTCAGCCCTCATTTTCCAAGAATAAACAAAAGACAATCTCTGGGGTTAAGGTTAAGAGAGTTCAACAAATGTGCAGATTAAATCAAATTTTAAGAATCTGATTTTTTTTAAAAAATGTAATGTAAATTTATTTAAGAGGAGTGTGAGAGGTCAGATAGGCTGTGCAACTGGATTGAAAAGCTAAAACTACTCAAGTATTACTCACAATATGCCGCTTCAGTTGTGTTTTCATAAAATAGAGAATTTTTACACTGAATTGAATTTAAGTTTACTTTAAGTTTAAAGCTGTTGCTGCCTTTGTGTTCAAAGAAAAGTTAATTATCAACTTTTTTTAATTGAAAATTTGGTATAGCTTATTCATTTACAGGTAATAATGATAAATATTAAACATTTGTTTCTGTACGAGCGCTGGTGTTTGTGATTAGCATGCAACTTCTACAGTCACCGGCCACTTTGTTAGGGGCACCTGTTCAACAGCTCCTTAACACAAATGTCTAGTTCAGCCAATCACATGCCAATAATTCAGTGCATTTAAGCATCTAGACATGGTCAAGACGACCGTGCGAACTTCAAAGCACACAGAGAAAAACTGCAGTGAGCGGCAGTTCTTTGGCTGAAAATGCCTTAGAGGTCAGAGCAGGATGGCTAGACTGCTTCAAGCTAATAGGAAGACAGCAGTAACTTAAATAAGCATTCATTACAACCAAGATACACAGAACATCTCAAAAATTGAAGCAGATGGGCTAAAGCAACAGAAAGCTATACCGGATCCCACTCCTGTCAACTAAGAACAGGAAACATACGCTAAAGTTCACGCAGGCAAAATTCGGCAACAGAGGATTGGAAAAATGTTGCTTAGTTTGATTAGTCTGGATTTCTGCTGTGACCTTCAGATGGTAGGGTCATAATTTGATGGAAACAGCATGAAAGGGTTATGCTGTTATGCCATCCTGCATTGTATCAACGATTCAGGCTGCTGGGGGTGTAATGGTGTGGGAATATTTGTATCTGACCATTGTTCAAGCACTACAGCCTCCCTGAGCTTTGATGCTGATCACGTCTATCCCATTATGACCACAATGTACCCTTCTTCTGCTTGCTGCTTCCAGCAGGATAAAATCTCATATCAAAAAGCTCAAATAATCCCACACCGGTTTCTTAAACATGACAGTAAATGCACTGTACTCAAATGGCCTCCACAGTCACCAGATCTCAATCTAATAGAATACCTTTGGGATATGGTGAACGGGATGCTGTCGTGGATGTGCAGCTGACAAATCTGCAGTGACTGTGATGCTATTGTGGTAACGTGGACCGAAATCACTGAGAAATATTTCCAGCACCTTGTTGAATCGATGCCATTAAGAATTAAGACCGCTCTGAAGGCAAGAGATGGTCGAACCCAGTAGATTTAGCTAATAAAGTAGTCAGTTTATTAGCTACAGTCAGACATTATATGACTGGTCTTTATCAAAGTCTACAGAAAATGAGCCCTGCAAGAGTCTGTATATATTAGAGGCTGAATAAGATTTAAATAAACACATAAATTAATTAAATTAACAAATCATCACTTCTCTTCAATTGTCTGAACAGGTTTTTCCGCATCAGGCTTCATAAAATTGTAAATCTTTGTTTACTGTGTATAAAAGCAAATCTGCATGAATGAAGTAATGCATTTAAGTTTACAATGAACAAACAGTGACAATTAGGCAAAATTCACACATTTAGTCCAAGTGAACTCTGCGTGGGATCTAAGTAAGACGCCAACATTTAATGCAGCGCTTTGGAAAGGGATGTATAAATATGTAAATATTTGACACCTTTAAATATCATCAGCATCTCAGTGCTTGGTTAGAACATGAATTATTCATTCTACATCATAGTTTATTATTTCCATCCATTGTGAAATGCTTTGGTTTCAGGTCTCAAGTTGTGGTCTCACTGGAAAGTCTGTCTTTCCAGCGGGCGGCAGTTTTTCCATCACAGCCCCACTGCAGCATGTACTCTTCCTCTAAGCACTGATGAATCTTTGTTGCTATTTGTAAAGATTTTGTGTCCTGCTGCAGAGAAACCTGGACGTGTTCGGTATTTGAATGATGCCAAACATCGCTCTATCCGCTGTTATTCATTTAACGCCTTTGGTCCACGCACAGTAGAGTGAAAATGCCTGTTATCTAAATGAAATCTGTGCATTCACTTCTCATCTGATAAACAAAAATCCAACCGTGTTTCAGTCATTTAAACCACAATAATAAAAAATTTAATATTACAGCGGCAACAAATTTCACATTGGCGCCGCAAAAAATCCCGATGAAGGAAAAACTTGGATCCATCGCCATGAGCAATGGAGTGAACATATGCTAGAGGAAATTGGTGGAAAAATCTTGCAGTGTTTATAAATCTGCCACCAAAAGCATGCACTGATTTTCAGAGCAGATTCAAAGGTTTTTAATGGACTCCAATATGAATATAGCATATAGCGACTTCCTGACTCTCAAAACTCAATGTAAAGTTTTTTTAAGGAACTTTTTTCTAATGATGTAGAACTGCTGTCTTTACTGTTTTTATCTAAATGAAGCTTATGTCGAGCCTTCTCACTGAATATTTGCATATGTACATATTCGCCAACAAATAGCTGTCCACTACTACAACAAACAATACACCAGCTCTTATCTTCATTCTGTACATTTGAATTAATGATTGTGTTTTCATATTAATCTTTCATTCTCACTATCGCAGACCCTTATTTTAATTTCTCTACTAAAAATTAAACCTGGGACAAATGTAAGCTCTGAATCCTGAATGCTAGTATTACTTTATGTCGTAATAAAGACATAAAAATTTTTCATAAAAATTAGCTGCTAAAATGTAATTTTTTTCTTCGCTTTCCTCCTGTTTGTATCTAAATGATGAATTTGTACACTTTTACTGTGTAAATCTTATCCCATTACTTACTTCCCTGAGTTGCCAGCAGATACCCAGACATAAAGTACTTTACTTACTTTTTGGCACTAAATACATTTGGTACTTTCAAGCAAGCAGTTTAAAATATTTCCATTGACTTACGATTGAATTAATACAGTCTTTGAATAAGCAAAAATAAAACCATATAAAAATCCTAATTGTGATTTTTAAAAAAAAATCATAAGCACCTTATTGCACTTAAAGCAGCAGTAAAAGTAAGAGAGTTATATCCTGTCAGAGAATTATATCTTTGGACCGTCATTAATAATGTATCCATTAATGCCTGTGATATTTTTTTTTCAATCTTTTAGTTAAGGTGCAGATTTTTTTATTTTTATATATATCCATTCTTTAGCGGTTTAAGGAGCAGCATTTCATTTTTAGAAGCTGGTCACATATTTTGTGGGTAAAATCTTAAACTGTCAGATAAATGTAGAGGATGAAACTACTTTCAGCTGCTCACTTATTCAAAGCAGGTGGTTCTACATGTTTGATTAGGCCGGCTTTTTATGCCAGTTCCCCTTTTGGACACAACCCCAAAATCAAATGGGGGTCTTTCGTTTAAGCATTACACCATTGAACCACCAGAGAAATGTAGAAACCAGTGAAATCATGATTTGGATTTTTTTTTGTTCCAACATCTCATCAGATAAAAAAATCCTTTACATATCGATGTTATACAGCCTTAATTGTAAAAATAATAATAACAATAATAATGTGTTTTATCTGCTGTGTTTCTGTGTTACCTTCTGTGGTCCGTCTGTCTTCATTCTTCTGCAGTTTCTGGTAGCAGCAGCTCAGTGACAACAAGCTGCGCTTCCTCTTTCAACACCCCCCACATCCGTCAAGCACTCAACTGTAAACTCTGTGTGGTTTGAAGTGGACACACATGCAAAAACACTCTCTTCAGCATTTTTTATTTAGAAGCAACAACTCTTATTGATATTTTTAAGCCGAATTCTTCAGCTGTTCTCACACTAAATGTAATCTTATGGTGGCACAGCAGTGCAATGGTTAGCACTTGCAAAAAAGTTAAACTTTCATCTGAGCTGGAACCTTAATGTGAAATTTGCATATTCTCTTGTTTCCGCCAGCTTCCTCCCACAGTCCAAAGACCTGCACTATATGACTAAATGGTTCCCCCTCTCTCTGTGTTGGACCTGCAATAGCCTGGCAACCTGTGCAAGGCGTGTGCAAGGTGCACCCCACCTCTGACCTCATGACAGCTGATACAGGCTAAGCCCAGCCACATGACTCTGAAACGATAAAGAAAAAGGATTGTGGCTACCTCCAATGTCACTGGACCGCAAAGTGGTGTGAAAACGTATTTCCTGATAGTTTTTCTTTCCCGTTTTTTGCATATTTCTCACATGTACTCTCTAATAATTTCCCTTGCTCTCAGGGGAGACGAGTAGATCCTGCCTTTGACTCCGCCCACTAGTAGATCGTGCTTGCGTCCTGCTCTTCAGCAGACACACTTATTCCTCATGAGTCCGCTACCTGCCGTTACTTAAGGATCTACTCAGGTGAAAACTTGTCTGAGTTAATGGGATCCTGCAAACAAAGGAACTGTGTTTTCACCTACTAAGAATCTAACATGACCCCCCGCCCTTTGTGCCGCCCTATGCATCCATACCATGTAGTGATTTAAAATTAATCAGTATAAACTAAAATTGAATTGCACATTAAATAAACAGTATAATACTGGAGTAACATGTTCCCTACATGGAGTATTTGTGAGTATCCTTGCTGCTGAGTATTTCCACCAGCTATAAATGTTCAACAGCGACTTGTACTCATGTAATGAGGAAACGAAGGTGCGGATGAGTGGTGCAGTTAAGGAGATAAGGAATGGTTGAAACACTGTTATTCAAAGACTGTCTCCATTACACCAACCACTCAGGTGTTGCAACTGTATCTGGTTTTGAGGTCAGTTGCGACATCTGACTTTATCTTCTTCTGAGTCATTTTCACTAATTGCTTCTCGCTTGTTGTGCCCAAAAACCCATTTAGAAAATATTAACAGTTTTACAGTAATGTATTTATTTATGTAGTTTTGCTTGTTTGTTTGCCATGAGTTTCTCATAGTATTAAAATATATTTGTGGTTTTATTAGTTAACAAAAAAAAAAGACTCAAACAACTAAAAACGTTGGTACAGAACTTCTGTGTGGTTTTAACAACTTGTTCAGCTTGTTTTAATAGCTTAATGCAGCCGTCACCACCTTGCCATCCATGACATCATGCAGCAGCCACACACACTGAGTCAACACGTGTTAATCATGTGCCACATTTCCCAGAAAGGCGACAGGGAGGCAGAATCAGGGCAAAACCGTTTCTTTAAACTAACTTTAAAATAACTTAAAATAACTTTTACAATGGCTTTTGTATATTTTGGGGTTTTTAGGAATTATTTTAAATATACCTGAGTTTGCCTTTATTACTTTTCAAAGTGTTTAAAGTTTTGTTTTGATTTCATTTTCATTCTTGAGTTTCAATTCTCGTGTCTGAGTTTTAGTCACCAGGTTGGTTTCTAAGTTTCACGAGCTGTGAAACTCGTTCACTAACCCGCCTCCTGCAAGCAAGTCGGTCAGTAAGTCAGTAAGAATTTCCCCTTTCTATGCAGAAAGGAGATAACCAGCAGGCGCTGAGCTAAATTTTGCCCACAGTCCTGCCCCCTTTTAAAGTTTTTTGCCCTCTGGGAAATTCCTATTTCTATTTTGGCAACTAAACTACAGTTATTAAAGACACCGACAACAAGTGCAGCAGTAATGTCAACACAAAAAATAAAATAACACTATCTGAAAGTGACACCTATATCATACCTATATTTGTTCAACAGAGTTATGCTACAAAGTATAAAAGACCAGTGAAAAAACAGACCCTAGCTTTAGCATCGGGACAGGAAAAGCACAGGTCAGAATAGGAAAATGCTGCCTCAGTAACAAACACAACAGCAGGTGAGAGGAGGTGGGGATAAAGAGAGAGAGAGTTTTATTGTTTGGTTATTCTTTGTGAGTTCCTGATTGGAGGAGTGACTTGCTTGTTACTGGGGAGTGTTGCTCTGAGCCTATTTCTAACCTGACGACACAGTGTGAGCTGGTTGAAGCAGTCACATAACCAGTGTTGGTCAAGTTATTTGAAAATAGTAATTACTTCTCCAAGAAAGTAATCCAATGACTTTACTGATTACTTATTTTCAAAAGTAATTAGTTACTTATTACTTAGTTACTTTTTAAAAACATGATACACAACCTGAATACGTTCTAAAGCAATAGACCTTTCAGCCCAATTCTACTTTTTCCTCATAATCTATCATATGAAATTGAATCAAAAGTCTCTTTTTAAAACTTGTTTTATTAGTTTTAATCTTTTAACTTTATGCACATGGCATCAAGCAAAAACATAAATGATATGATATGAATGATATAACAGTCTTTGACTTGAAGAAATTTGTTTAACATTTAACTTATCTTCTGCATATTCAAGCATATAAAATAAAATAATTTTTTGTGTTTACACTCACTCTTTCAAATAAATGCAAGTAAAACAGAGCAAAAAATAAATAAAACAAAAGATTCAGTGGCACTAAGTCCTGTTGCTCTTAAATCTATTTTCACCTGTTTAGCGGGAGTGGGGTCGGTGGAGGTTTGCCCGGTGCCTCAGCGGGTCATGTCAGTGGGGGGATCTGGGGGCTTGCTAGGTGCTTGCTCAGATTTTTCGCTGTTTTGGCACTTTTTAGGGAATCAAACTCAAAGTAATGTCCAAACTTTAAAAGCTGCATGGTCGTACTTTCTCCCTCACTCCATATTATCCATTGTTGATCTAACACACGTCTGTTGCTGCCACGGATGTCGCAGGCTCGTATGTCATTCTCATGAGACACTCTCACAAACAAAATCACGGTTTAGTAATGCAGTAATAGTAATCCAGTAATAGTAATCCTTTACTTGTTACTTGAAAAAAGTAATCGGATTTCAGTAGCACATTACCTGTAACACGTTACTGCGCATCTCTACTCATAACTTTCTAGCGGGGGTGGTAATCATTGGTAATAATAGTGGAATGACACCATGGTAATATGGTGAATAACATAGACTGCATGGTCGTACTCTCTCCCAATATGCTGAACTATGAATTATATATTAATCATTAGTTATTATTAATATCAACTTCGAAAACAACATATAAAGATAAACTTCAATTAGCTTTCAACTTTTAAAAATAAAATAAATTAAACTGCATTTTTTCCTTTTAAAACGTCTTCTCATTGACTCACAATTATCACAGTTATCCAGACATTACACCAAGACTCAAAAATGTTTTATAGTTTCATCTTTCATTTGGAGGTCCTTATTTTATTTACCATGTATAATGATTCCAGTGCCACTATAATATGTTGCTATATTTGCTTTGTGACAACTCCCAGTCTATGATTTATCATTCAGTGGTTGCGTCACACGTGTGGGTTACTTTCAGATTCCACCAAGTTGTCAGTAAAAGCAAACAAAATCTCTAGACAGACCAGTTAATCATGTTAATCATCAATCCAATTAAGTTGCATTATCTATAAAGATGCATCTCCTTGGCAAATGGCCTGTATTTGGATAGCGCTTTACTTAGTCCCTAAGGACCCCAAAGTGCTTTACACTACATTCAGTCATCCACCCATTCACACACTGGTGATGGCAAGCTACATTGTAGCCACAGATGCCTTGGGTCTAGCACCCTAGACCTATTGCACCATAACTAAGGGAGGATACAGGGTCACCTGATCCAACCCTAATTATATGCTTTATAAAAAAGGAAAGTTTTAAGCTTGATCTTAAAAGATGAGATTGTTTCTGTCTCCTGAGTCCAAACTGAAAGCTGGTTCCACAGAAGAGGGGCCTGAAAGCTGAAGGCTCTGCCTCACATTCTACTTCTAAATACTGACTGGTCAGTCGGTGAAAAAAAACAACAACAATAACAACAACAAAAACAAAAACATTTTAAAGAAAGTACGTTAAATCCCATTTCTTTTTTGAAAACTAACTAGCTAAAAAAAAAAAAAAAATTCAAAGAAAAAAACTTCAAAAACAACATGTAAAGATGAACTTCAATTGGCTTCCAACTTTTAAAAAGAAAATAAAAAAATTAAACATAAGTAAATAAAATATCATATTAAAATTAAAAAATAGTAAAATTTGTAAAATAAAATTGGCAAAAAATCCAAGGTTCAAAAACAATATTTAAAGAAAAATGTGAAATATTTTTAATAGTTTTTTTCCTGAAGAAATGTTTGACATATAGTTTCAGTTACATTTATAAAAATAAAACTGCAATCAACATTATAAGTTTACTGAAAAAGTGCTCATTTCCAATCTCATCGTACTTCACTCTCTTGGCGTGATGACGACGTGGAACGTCAGAGTACGCACGCTCCAAAAACCTCACGGTCCCCGTGCTGCTTGCTAACGTCGGGATTAAACTGTCATCTTTTTCCTACCTACACACTGCTGTCGCCGGAGGCGTGGAACCGCTTCTTCCGCTTTCGCTCCGGTGAAAGCCGGACTGAGCTCTGGCAGCTGCTCGGGCCACACCCTCCGCTCCTGCCCTCTCCTTCTTCTAGTTGTTTACTGTACCAACAGTCGTGAGCTCTGCTTTGTGTCGTACCTGCCTAGCTGAGAGCTGGCCCGCCGCGCGCATGCAGCAGAATGGCTCGAGCGGTTCCAACGGCTCTGACGGCTGCAGCAGCAGAGAGCGCCAGTCTCTGTCCTTCAGCCCGCTGCCCGCCGCTACGCGGGTGAGACGCTTCATTCAGGAGAGACGGACGCTGCCTCTACCCAGAGTGATGGTGGTATTCTCGGCCGCTGGGGACACCGAGAAACCGAGCGATGCCATGTCTAGCTCGGACTCTGTGGAGGACGAGTTCCGAAAGCCGGCCTCCCCTTCGCCGAGCCTGACTCTGAGCACGCCACTCTGCTCCTCGCTGAACACCCAGGAACAGGAGGTAGGCCTCTTTTCCATGGAAAAAAAACAGTGGCACAAGCCACCAAACAACACAGCTTCTAACATAAAGAAATACTCATATTCATATAAAACTCATACTCATTAAACACCAACTGCAGGTATACTCTCATAAACATCCCGTTAATTATAACCACCTTGTTACTACCAAATAACAACACTGGGCTGATGGGTATACATATTTATGCAGAGGTCAGAGGCTGGTTGAGCTGCTGAATCCTGTGATGATTGGCTAGCAGTTGTGTCACATGACTGATGGAGCTAAACACAGGCACAGCAGGTTAATCATCTTAACCACAGGCTGCTGAGACCTGCTCACACAGCAAGATTTTCTTGATCTGCAATAGAAAATAAAGTAATATTCATTTTCTTATTGCACTTAGTGAAAAGAGTGTTCTTGCTTTTATCACACCAGGCCTCTGCAGTTCGTCTTTCATTGCATCAATAAATGTTCTCCGCGCCTTCCTCCTTTGCTCTCACCTGGCAGCTAAATATGCTGTATCTGTTTTCCAGTATATCCACTATCCCTCAGCTGCACATACCCAAGCCATCTTAGCCTTGCCTTTCTAACTTTGCCTCTTATGTAGTTTAAAGCTGCCGAGAAATATTTTAGTTTCAGATTATCAAACAAATTGCATGTTAAATAAAGATAACCCAAATAAATACAAAATACAGTTTTTAAATTTACTTCAAACTATCCAAACCAACCTGGTCTTATGTGAAAAAGAAATTGACTTCCTCCCAAAAATCATAAATTAACTGTAATAGATCACATTTTTGGAAAGCTGAGTTCATTTTCACTAGCCACACTCAGGCATAAACACTGTCAGACTTGTTGAATCAAGAAATCACTTAAATAAAATCTATCTGACAAAGCAAAGCAGGTAAAAAAAATCTCAAAAAGCAACACGTCAAAGTCAAGAACAGCCGAGAAACAAAGTCACTGACATCTATCACTCTGGGAAGGGTTACAAAGCCTATTCTAAGGCTTTGGGGCTAACCACAGTGAGAGCCATTATCCACAAATTTCAAAAACAACTCATCCAGCAGGTCACAAAAGAACCCAGAACAACATCTGAAGAACCGTGGGCCTCACTTAGCTCAGTGAGGGTCAGTAGTTGATGGAACCATGAATTCTGCTCTCTACCATTAAATCCTGAGGGAGAATGTCCAGCCATCAGTTCATGCCCTGAAGGTTAAAAGCACTCTGACTTACAGCAGGACAATGGTCTGAAACACCAGAAAGTGCGCCTCTGAATGGCTGAAAAAGGGCAAAATGAAGGTTTTGGAGTGGCCAACTGTGGACTTAAAACAGATTGAGATGCTTTTGCATGAGCTTAATCAGCCTGTTCATGCTGGTTTTCCAGCATGAACAGAGACCCCAAAGAAGAGTGGGTCAAAACTCCTCCACAGAAAGACTTACTGTCAGTTATCACAAACACTTAATTGTAGTTCTTGCTGCTAAGGCTGACACAACCACTTATTAGGTTTACTTTTTAAGACAGGGCAGGCAAGTTTGGATAACTGTATTTCCTTCATAAGGGAAATCATCATATTAAAAAGACATTTTTACTCCACCACACATTTTAAAAAGAAATCTTCATCAGCTGGAAAGAACGTGATTTAGAAAGTAAAGCTGTTGATGGAGACTGAAGCTGACCAGTAAATTATCAGAAGATCTAAACAAATTTAACTGGAATCTCAGATCGGTTCCAGTACATTTCTTTGGTGTAATATCACATTTACCTTGGCCTCTTAAAGCCTCTTAAAATGCACATGGTGAATTTCACTGGAAATATCTTAAAACCTACTTATGATTTGCTTTTTATGCACCGTAAAATATGCATTTCATTTTAAACCTGTCCTATTTCTCCTTTTAAGTTTCCAGAGGTCATCTCTCTAAACGTCGGGGGCACATACTTCACCACTCGCCTGTCCACACTGCGGCGATATGAGGACACCATGCTGGCTGCCATGTTTAGCGGCCGTCATTACATCCCACGCGATGCCGAGGGGCGCTACTTCATCGATCGGGATGGAGCCTACTTTGGGTGAGATTCAAGCAAAGATATTACCATCATTATCGGTGCTGCTGCCTGCAGTGATATCTCCTTATGAGATAAGGAGGTATAGTGAGGAAGAGGAGGGTTATATGTGGGAGTACAAAGTTTTTAAAAGGCAGCTTAGTGGAGGACAAACTTTTAGTTTCTGAAAGGTTCACGCTCTGTGATCTGAAGATTTTCAAGCTGCTGCAGACAGCTCATTATATTCTGACAGGTCTCGGTGAATCAGGTATTCTGTGAAATAAATTGGTCTCTTCTGCTAGCACTCAAAGTTGATTTACATATCTATTTCTGTGCCGCTGCTTTTTCTTATTTGTTGCTTATTTCTGAAGATATAATGTCCATACTGAGATTGTATTTGTGATAGGGTGAAAATTGCAGCCTCTGTCACAACATAACACTGTGGCCTTTAGTTAGATTGCTGTCATTTTAGATTATGGAGGGCAGACAAGTTGCGAACAAAGTCAGCAGGAAAGGACTGAAAATGTCATGGATGAGTGGTGCAGAGGGAACCAAGATGCATTAAACAGAAAGAAAACCTTTATTTATCCGAAGAAACAAACTGGAATCCAAAGTGAGCATGAAGGGTGACACTTTCAATAAACAGGAAACGGTAATGGGGGCATAAACAGACCGACAGAGTCACACTGATTACACAGTGAAACCACTGTGAAGATTAGAAAGGCCACAATAAGAAGATGACAAGTACCAAAACTCAATGTCACAAATACTAAAAATCCATGACAGAAAAGGTGTGGAAAATTAAAAAGAAAAAAGAGAGTTTACTGTCCAGACATCTCTGATAAAAAACAACCTCAGCAGAGTTTAACAAGACTTTACTGAGATCTGTAAACTCTGTGTTTCACACATAGGTCAGTCATTCTCCAGATAAAATAAAACATATCTGAGGGGATAGCTGCTTCTGTTTGCTAAGGAAAAATTAGTATTTTTCAGCTAGTTGGTGAGTGGTTGCTAGCTGTTGCAAAGCAGTAAAAATTTTGCGATTGCTATGGTTGGAAGCAGATTGCTGCAGTCTCCCAAAGTTTGCCTGAAAGATGCCAACTTCTCTGCAAGCACTTCCCAACTACTGGTGGATCGTTAGTGAAACTTGAAAACGAGCATTGCAAAGTGAAAACTTGAATGTTTACCTGCCAAAGTAAAAGTTGCCCCTTTTGAAATATGTTTGCAAAAGCAGTGAGGCTTAGCTTTTACTTTGAAGGTGAACAGTCTCTGCAGAAGAAGTTTTTGGTTTAGCCAGTTTCACCACCGACTGGCCTCAAGCCCAGGCAACCATTTTCCAACCAATTAAGGAATATATATTTTCCTTAGTGACCAGAGGTTGCCAGGCGGTCAGTCACTGGTCTATAAGCCTGCCTGAGTGGGGCTTTAACAATTGCATTTACAGGCAGTAGCACCCGCTAACAACCATGGACCAGCTGGCCAGGAAAGACATAATTTTCCTTAGCAATCAATAGTTGCCACAGGGACTGGGGTCACCAACTGGTCTCTAGGCCTGTGAGACTGGAGTCTTAATTAGACTACCTGATTGGTGAGTATTTTGGTGCCTATTGGTTAGCTAGCTGCCTGCATTTTTGGACAAGTGATAGTTGTTAGTAAGTATTTTATCTGGCTGTCAGTAATCTGTTTTTGCATTAAAGAAGAGTTTGAAGTGATAACTAGGGTTTTCTTTGTGTGTGTTGTGGAGAACAGCAGGAAGGCGATGCTCTTTGTACAGGACAGCACAAGCATGTTATTGGCATTTGAAGTAAGTGCATGCAGACTGTGAATATATGCAGGAGCACATGTGGGAATGGAATTATTCCCAGATTCAGTCCAAGTAACCTGTTTTTTGGGAAAAAAAGAAAAACAGGCAGTAATAAAAAGCTCAGTGACACAGTAGCTGGGAATGTAACTCTGTCCTAGTTTTAAGTGGAGCTGGAGCCTGTCCTCTCTGACACACAGTGAGCAGTAAAGAGGCAGCGCTGTGGCCAGGAGAGTCCTTAATAAAACCACCTGATCGACAAGTTTAGCTGTTTGTCTTGAGTTTAAATCTCAAGACAAACTGAGTAAACAGAAAACACATTTTAATTCTACAGTTGGAAAGCCCAGCAGGAATGCAACGAGCATTATCCAAAAAAGAAAACACACAGGGAAGGGCAACTGACACTGTGACAAAGAGCAAAGGATAACTGAAATAATTTTTACTGACACTTAAAAAGGGGAATAGGGAACAGCTGGGTCCACAGGTGAGACTAATCAGGGATAGTGAGACAAAGGAAGTAAAATTAAACACAAAGCACAAAGGACACATGACTGCCAAAATAAAACAGGAAGTCAGTGACTAACACTTAGACAAGACATACTGAAATATAAAAGATATATAGAAGAAGATGGGTCGGAGAAAGCTAGGAAAACTAACATGAGTAGTTATACCAAATAAACCCCAACCAGAATTCAAGTGGAGAGAAACCGAAACGGAGAACTAAAGGCTCAAGAGATATGAAAATCCAATCTAAAATCCAATTTATGCCACCAGGAGGGCGAGAACATCATTAGATCCAGTACACACCCACAACCTCAGCTGTTCACACTTCTACAAGAGTCTGAAACCGAAGTCAAAAAGAGCATTAGACTCATGGGTAAAACAGTCAGTACTCCCCCTCCTTCACCTCATCACGACTGACTGTTACTGTACTATTATTGTTATTATTATCTAGTGTCACAAAAATCTGAACAG